GACTGTAACAATAGTGAAATGATAAGAATACTTACACACTATATTTATTATTTAAGATAAAACGAAAATTAATAGTTAATATTTTCAGAAAAACAATGATATTGATTGTAACAATAGTGAAATGATGAGAAAGAATACTTACATTCTATATTTATTATTTAAAATAAAATGAAAGCCAACAGTTAATATGTTTTCAAAAACAATGATATTGAGTGTAATAATAGTGAAATGGTGAGAATACTTACCACCTACCCATTATTTAAAATAAAACAAAAATCAACAGTTAATATTTTCAAAAAACAATTAATTTGAGTATAATAATAATACAAAAAATACTTACACTGTTTATTATTTAAAATAAAATGAAAACCAATAATTAATATTTTTTCAAAAACAATGATATTGACTATAATAATAGTACAAAAATACTTACTCTATTTATTATTTAAAATCAAATGAAATCCAATAGTTAGTATTTTTTCAAAAACAATTATATGAATATAATGATATTTATTGTAATAGTAAATATAATAATAAATGAAGTACCTCGCTTCACCAAATCATTGTTATGAGTTGGACTTGCTAAAGCCATGACAGCAAAGATAATCAAAAAGAGAAGAGAAATATTGAATTTCATTTTGATTCGTTCAGATAATTTTGTCTAGTTTTCACTTTTTTTTAATTTTTCAAATTGTATAGGATTACTGTAAGAGTATTTATAAAAAAAATGAAAGCGAATTTTTGATTTTCAAATTGCATTGGAATTAGATTTAAAGCTAATTTGTTGGTCGAAATACCCTAATTCCGAATCGAATCTTTTTATTTCTATTTATATCTTTATTTTCTTTATTTATATCTCTATTTATTCCTTATATTCCTTATTTCATTTCTTATTTTATATTGTAATAATAAACGTCATTTAATACTTAATATTAATATTAATATTAAATTTAGGGAATTGTTATTCGCACCCCACGCGACTAAGTGTAGTAATGTGACCAATGAATGGCTTAGCCAAATAAAATCGCTTAGCAAATTTCTTCGATCAAATAAATCGTTGGTACTAATACTAAGCTCGCCGGTATTATTATTACTACTACTATCGTTATTATTATTACTATTATTTACTATTGTTATTATATTATCTCGCATTTAATGGTTCAAATTATTTGTTTTTTTTCATTATGAATTTGAGTATTCGAATAAACGAATAAAAAAAACTAATAAAACTAAAAAAACTAATAAAACTAATAATCCAAATAAAACGAATAATTCGAATAGAACGAATAATTCGAATAGAACGAATAATCCGAATAGAGCGAATAATTCGAATAGAACGAATAATTCGAATAGAGCGAATAATTCGAATAGAACGAATAATTCGAATAGAGCGAATAATTCGAATAGAACGAATAATTCGAATAGAACGAATAATTCAAATAGAACGAATAATAATAATTCGAATTAAAATATGACTTTTATCCTGCTACGATATACATATTGTATTTTGTTTTTTGAGCAAATGTATGTTTTTTTTGTCATTCTAAGTAATGTAGGTGGACCCATCTCAACTAAATGTCTATGCCATTGAATTCAGCACTAAAATTCCAGACGTAAAATGAATGTTAAGAAAAAATTTTAGCTGGCTAAGCCGGCTAACATCATTATCTGCAACTTTAAATACTCAAGTTTAGAAAATTATGTAACTTACTTTTATTACTATGTGCTAAAGAAGGATTGGAACGGGCATTATTATTCAACTTTTAAATGATTTAAGTGTTAGTATATTAATATGATTTTGAACACAGTCTCGCCGTGTATATATATTCAACGGAATTTTGAAGTTTTTTACTAAGCTCAAAGTTTTCATAAAAATCACGGAATTTTTGTCTAATTTAAAGTTTTCATTAATTAACGAAAGATTATGATGAATTTAATTTAGTGCGACGTATTTAACTTTAAAAAAGGTCATTTTTCATGGAGAATTTGTTTAAAAAAAAGGAAATTTCAAATGATTGTGTTGTGTATATATTAGAATGGTCGACGAAATTAATTTAGCCAATCAATTCAGATATTTGTGATACTTGCTGATTAATTCCTATACATATATTGATTGTTTTATATAGTGCAAACATTCAGCCAATATATTAACATCATGCATCAACTTCGGACAAGGATAGAGATGGGAAAATTGCTGGTAGTAAGTAATTATCATATCAGCCGACTTGTTTTTTGGGTCTTCTTTCAAACCCTACACACATTTAAACTCGATAGGTCGGTCATTTATTTATTTTAAACAATTGATTGTTGCACCCGACTTAATGAGCTTACATGTATATCTTATTGTGTATGCGTAACTGGTCAGATTAACCCTAAAAAAATTTATTTACTCTATCAAAAAAAAAAAACGATTTTACTATTCAATAGCCTGTCAAACCAACGGCACTACCTCAAAACTAATGGATTATAAGGTATTCATAACGTTACGATCATGCCATACTGAAATTTGAGGTTCAAACAAAATCAACGCATGTGCTAAAAGTACATTTTTTGAGAACCTAGGGTTTTAATGATTTTATACATGGCATTTTATATAACAATTTATTATGTAGAGTAACGTTGGATATTTACCATGGTAATTATTCTCATTTTTTTTATCATGATGATAAGACAAAGGGTAATCATTTTTTTTGTGACATCACTATACTGTTATATATAAAATCAATATTTGGCCATACCCTTGATCATTGGTTATGAAAATTTGGTCTTATAATTGGTCAACGCCAATTTCGTCGCATTTCATCAAATCCGACGAAATTGACAACCGATTTGACGAAATAATTCCTCACCCTACAAAGTATTTCGCCAATATTCTTAGTATATATAGTTAAGTTAAGCGCTGCCAATTTTTTTTTTAAACAAATGGAAGTTCTAAGAAAGAAAAGATGTCGGACCAATAAAAAAAAGCCTAATCTGACTATGAATTACATCCCTCCCGTCCCTTTGATTTATATAATAATATATAAACTTATGGTTCAACATTTTAATTAATTTATAAAAATAAATTTCTTGAAATAGAATTAAATGCCTTCTAAATTCGAGTAATAAAATGAATATAAAATGAAGGAATGTTAATTGATTGATCAAATTCATAATATTCTTTCATTAAAAAAAAAAAAAAAAAACATGTCATTCATTTTTTTATCTACGTGCTTCATTAATACCATCCCCTCCATTGACAGTGTAATTGGTGGAAGCGCCATATATAAAAACAAGCCCAACCGCGTTATGCTGATAAGGACATATTTGCTGAATGACAAATATACGTTGCAATGAGTCGTTAAAAAACTTGCATATTCTCGTTTTTGACTATGCTCAATAAAGGTCTCTAAAGCAGCATTAGAAGAATATAAAAGATTGGAAAAAGTTAATACTGAAGTGAAGGGTTGCAAAATTTGATAAGACGGTAAAAATTTATTATGTGGAACAAATCAATCTTTTCTGTATTTGTAATTTTTTTTTTTTTAAAAAAAAAAAGTTTAAAGCAATTTAATATTAATATTTAGTTAATTGGAGTTTACTATTCTTTCTCCTGCAAAGAAAAACAATCCGTCGTTTTTGTTTTATTATTATTGCTTTGTTTATTATATATAATATTAAAATACTTACAAATAAATTCGTGCACGTGCCGCCGCTCACTCATTGCGACGTTTAACTTAAAATCTTGTTTTCACATATAGAAAATCAATTGATGTGACATGCCCTGTGACTAATATATATTTGTCAATTTCAAAACTAGTGTTTATTAGTAAAAATTAATAAAGCGTGAAACATGTACATATTAATATTGTACACCAAAAATTCACAAATTAATCTTCATAATTTTTTTCAAAAAAATACCATTGGTCGTAAAAAAAATTTTTTCTTTGTATTTTCAACATTACACATATTATTTACAAGCTTTTAAATATGTATACAACTTTAAAACAATATAAACTTTGTTTTTACTCTCAGGAATTTGGTTTTCTTTATTAATATTGATAAAATAATAAATAAATAAAAAATATTATTTTTGAATCACAACATTGTTGGAGTGTAACAATCTTTAATCTTGATTGATCAGTAAATAATTTTAGTCGAAATTAGGCAATTAATTCATACCATATTTGGTAATGTAAAAAAATTCGTTTTGTTTAAATTCGCTATTACTAATTTGGCAATCGGGATTATTGCGTTTTACTTCGAAGAATTATGA